TACTCCCGTCCCCCGGGAAATCCCCGGGCGGGGATGCCAAGCGCGCCTGCCGGGCGCCCCTTAAGTGCATATCCACACGTTTATGCGTAACACATGAATGTACACACACGCGTGTGTGGGTATATATATAAAAATATATATAAAAATACAATTTTTAAGATAACCTTGATTCTGGAATCAAGAGTTTACAATTTAACATCTTGCAGTCGCAGTATCCTGGCTCCTTTTAAAAACGTGTCTTAGACACATCCTTTTAAGAAGAACCTAATACAGATACCTCAAAGGATAGAAACGTGCAATTTGTCAGTAATCTGAGGTCTATTCTCTTGCTTGCAGGGAGAACATTAGCTACAGCCTTGGCCTGTACTAAAGCCTGCCTGACTGCTCCCATTCCAGCTTTTCTTTTGAGTGATATATTTTTTATACTTCTACTTACTGGATTTAAATCCTCAAGACACAGTCTCTGCTTGGAAATTGGTTTGTTTTTCTTTTTTTGTTTGAACCGTTAGCTCAGCTGTTTGTGAGCCCAGAGAGAATGGAAAACAAAATTCTTTCTTCAAAGAAAAACAACTCTGGTGACTTGTTTTGGAAATGCCAGCGCATCGACACGGCGAGAGTGCCGAAGCCTGGGGTGGGAACAACCTCACTGAGTTTTGGAGCGTTCCGGGGAAAGCTGGGGTTTAATAAGGCCAAGCATGGCCCTTTCTTCCACACACGTGGGTTTCTGGAGCAGTGTGTTGTTTTTCCATCATGGCATACTGCTCCCAGCCAGCGAGGCCGTGCTCACTATATGCTGCAGCGAAATGAAAGGCTGCAGTAAAGAAGCAATTTATGGTGAACACAGAACATGGACATTATTTGGATGAATACACCCTCAGGCAGAGGGCCAAGACAAGCCCTCTGGCACACATACATCTTTATCTACTGTTTAAATGTAGCCTTCAGGCACTCCCGACGTGTCACTGGCTGCTGCCCCACGCTCCTGGCAGCCAGGGCTGTCCCCACACTGCAGGGTGGCACAGCCATCCCTCCTGCCCCGGGACTCCATGTGCTGCATGGGAACAGCCTCCTGTCGACTCCGCTGAGCTAAACCCTGCAGTGGGAGGGAGGCTGCCGTGGTACAAGACACCAGCGGTTATGCCCCTGAGTTGCTTTGCCCAGCAAGAAGCCACAGCCCCCGCTGCAGTTGGTGGACCCCCCCTGCCACAACCGCAGTCAGATACCCCGGAGGAAGGAGGTGTCGGTACGCTTTCGTTCCGCATGTGCTCGCTGCCTTGCAGGCTTTGCTGCAGGAGCAGCCCCTGAGGAGCCCTGGACGCCTGCAGGCGCCGCGGCTGAGGCAGCTGGTGCTCTGGGATCAGTGCTTACCAAGCCCCTCGGGCATCAGTCTCCAGTGCTCATGCATTTGTTGCTGCCAGCACTGCACAAGCAGCACCATCGATCCCTCATGCTGTGGTGTGCTGGGAGGTGATGTTGTCCTATGCCAAGAGTGCCCTCCCTGTTGCCCTCCAGCCCCAGGCTCGGGGCAGAAGGAGGAAGGAACTCGCAGAGAAGAGTGGCTTTTGAAAAGCTGAAGTCTTCTCTGCCAGAAGCCATGTGGCAGTGTGTGAGCAGGAGAAGCCCAGGGCAGAACTCAAGGGAAAAAAAGGGGGGGAAGATGCAATTTGGGGACCTTAAAAGTAATGAGGATCCTGTCAAAGAGACCTCTGTTTTCTGGTGCTCTAACTCAGTAAATATTTTTGTCTTGTTTCCTAAGGAAAAATACTCATTCCATTTTGGGGACAGGAGACACACACATCAATCTCCTTTCAATTTAATTGAATTTAGGCAAAGAGGCAGGGATCTCAAGGGTATCAACTCTGGGAAACAACGCAGCAAGGGCAGAGAGTCCATGCAAACCCTCTTGGACAACCTCCTTCACCTTCCTCCCTTGATCCATCTCTCTTTCCACACACAGATTAAATTCCCTGTATTCTCCCTGTGGCCAGTCACCTAATCCCTCCACAAGCCTATCACAGCTCCAGCACCTCTCAGGAGAGTAGCTGCCTTTGGAAGGTGTTTACACCACATACAGCCCTATGCTTTTAATCAAGGTGGAATAGGGCTCACAGCTGGCAAAGGGAAGGTGCCGTGAACACACCTGGAAGAATCCAATGACTGCCACCTCAGCACCACTGATGAAGGCTTCTGCATCCTCAACACTGTTCAACAGGATAGGTTTCTCTGCAGCGCCAGCTTTGCCTAGAAAGGAGAGGTCAGGGTGGGACAGAGGGGACACACAGAGCAGCTCAGAGAGCCTTCCCCCAACAGGTACCCAAGCACCCCACATTACAAGCTCATCCATACAGCTCTCCTGCAAGCTTGACACAATGCTTGCACAGTACACCCTGGGTTAGGAGGACTCCCCACAGCAGACCCAGCCTTTCCCCAAGCCAGGAGGAAAGCTCACTTACTGTGGGATGCAGAGCCACCGTCTCCAGAACACCCTGCTGGGGAGCCCCCGGTGAGCAGGATAATGAAGAGGCATGGGAAGACTGAGGTGACCATGGTGCCAGCTTGCCTTCTTCTCATCATGCCACCCTGCTCCAGTCGTCTCCTCAGCAAGAGACACGTCAGCTACTCTAGGGGCCCACAGCCATTCCTGGGGCCGTGGGAAGGGAGCAGCTGGCCCAAGAAAAAGCCTTCAGCGCCTGAGATAACTGCTATGCTAGGAGAGAGCCCCTGCCTGCTGTGCCAGCACCAGCCTTGGAGAGCCTCACCAACACTGCCACCAGCATCCCCTCACCCACAGTGCTGCACACCCCAGCTACCCTGCAAACTGTGTGACCCAGAGCCCTAATTAGGTGAGAACATCCCTTCAGGAGGAAGGAGCTGCTGCTTTTCTCCAAGGGCTGAGGCCCAGAGGCTGATGTTCCCTTGTGCTTGGCCAGCAGGGCAGCCATTGGGACATGCAGCTCTTGCGCTGGCTCTGGGGAACACCTAGGGTGGAGTTAAAAGCGAGGGGGCTGTGTTACAGTTGCATGGGCTCGTTCAATTGTAACCCAGCTGTCTACCCCTGGAGCCTACCCCCATCACAGGCCAAACCTTGGGCTTCAAACAAGGATTCCTGAAGGAAGCAGCTTTGAAATAATTTACTTATGGAATCAGGTTGCAGCTTTGAAGGAGGGCTACTTCCCTTCCCAACCATGGCCTTAAGCTTTCCTATAATGCAGTTGCCATGTACACACCCCTGAAAAACATACTCTAGAAAAAGAATGTGACACTCATGCAGAAAAGAAGATAGAAACTGGTTTTATTCTTGGGACACTGAAGTCTTGTTACAGCATCTAGCTGCATTCCCCCTGACTGGTTTTGCCTGCACAAGGATGGAGTTCAATGGGGTAGGGCACCAAACACAGACCAGGAGACCATCATGGAAGGTAAGTAACCATTTACAATGAGTCAGAGCACATGGCAATTGTAACTCAGATCGGGATTCTCCAGGGACCAGTCCGCCCTGCCAGGTGATTTTGTTTCCTAGAAAAGGCACTTCCGGGACCGGAGTTAGTACAGAAGAAATGGATGCAGCAGGAGAAAGGGGGGAGATGCTTCCCAATTTAACCCATTACATGTCATGATGGGGCAGTGGTGAGAATGGGCAGGTTATTTTCAGTGTATCAGAAGCAGCAGCAAAGGCCGCCCGCAGGCCTGTGCATTGGCCGAGGCTGGCACAGAGCCCCAGTGCCCGTGGGAAGGGCTGCCAGGGCTGTGGCCGGCCATGGGGGCAGGAATGAGCAGCGTGGTGGGCATGGCCCACCTGGAGGCAGGTGCAGGAGGCAAGGGGATGGGAAGGGGGAAGGCAAACGGGATGAACTCATTCTGTCCATTCCTTCTTGATGGACAGGTTCCACTCCCAGGTGAGATGGTCGTGCTTGTCATCATCCGTGAAGAAGGACTTGTTGTGATAGGTGCCTCGAGCCAGCATACCCTTAGGAGCCTCCTCAACAGGCGTCAGGAACTCGTACTCCTCTGGCCGTGGCCCATAGCTGCCCACCATGAATGTGGCTTTGTCCACTAGGAGAAAAAAAATCCACAGGGGATGAGCCCCTCAGGTGGGAAATTATAAAAGAGAGAAGAAGCCACAAGCACGAGTACAGACAGAAAGGAGATAATGGGGAGAGAAAGGAATGGTCCATGTCAGCAAGGGGAACAGAATCAGTGAAAAAAAGTGTGTTAGTGAAGCAGAAGGACAGCTGGAAGGATAAATGCATGGATAGGCAGATGGACAGGCAACTCAGTGACCCTCTAAAAGTACGTGCTGCTGGAAGGGAGTGAGTACACCCAGCATATTGCTCAAGATCTCTCTTGATCCCCAGCTACTCCTCCTTTCTGGTGAGAATACACCATTTACGTGTCTTGAATGAGATGCTTGAGTCTTCGAGGTGCTTCATGCAAAAAAGCACATGGGATGAGTGTGTGTAAAATGAGGTTTTCCTCTGCCTTGTCCAGGCAGGGCAGAACTGCACAAAGAGGAGAGGCCATGAGCAAAAACAAGGCTCTCAACACAGCAGGAAGCTTTGTAGAACAGCTCTGAATTTTACCAAGTGCATTTGGAAGAGTTTCCAGGGGGTGGGAAGCTCCACACAGGCTGAGCTGCTCTACAGGAGGTGGGGGAGGAGGTAAAGAACTATGTGGGGAGAGGAAATTGGTGGCAAGCACTGTCTAAACAGTGTCTCTGGGGACTTTGCTGCTGCAGACAGTGGTGCAGCATACAGACACTAGAGCTGGCTCGTACCGAGTTCACACAGGCACAGGAAACAGTTGGCCTGGGTGATGCAGCGTGCAGGTTAACACACTCTGCTGGGAAGTTTGCATCCTGACTGGTGGTGCAGGGGGGTTCCTCGGGGTCAAGGGAGGCTCTGAAAAACAGGAATGCTTCTTGGAGCAGAGGAAACACAGGGGTAGGTGCACTGGTGTGCAGGGCACAAAGGTCTCTTACTCACCCTTCACCCCTGTCCGGTAGGTGTGCTGCACGTATTTCAGTCCTGACACAATGTCCCTGTTTACCTGCAAGAAGTGACCAGAAGTAAATGCCACAGGAAGGGTTTTGGTCCTGTATCTGCTGATTTCCTCTTTCTTGAGAGACATACCCATCGTTGCTCCCTACATCACTGCTCTCAAAGGCTCAGGGCAGGACACATTGTGGGAAGTCCTAACATGACTTTTCCATAGGCACCTGGAGACCTACAGCATCCTCTGTGTATCTCCTGCACTTGTCCATCCTTTCCCTAACTTTGAAGCTGACTGGAGCACACCAGTCAGCTTTGCAAGACAGGCTGATGAGGACAAAGAAAAGTGAAGTGGGAGTTCCCAGTTAATAATTTTCATATTGAAAACCAGACATGGGTGACTAGAGTCATCCCTCCAGCACATACAGGTGGGCAAGATTAGATAAGCACTCCCAGCTGCCCTCTAAGTTCCATGGGGAGCTGGTAAGTTTCTCTTCAAGAGACAGAGGGACAGTTTTGTTGATAATCTTTGCTCCAATCTCCCATGGATAGCTTGCTGTCCCCTCCTCCAGAATGCACTGTCTCCCTGCAGCACTACTCAATCTGGAAACAAGACAGGCAGATCCTTTTACATCCCAAGGGAGAATTCACATAGTGCCAGCTCTTACCAGCCTTGGGACTGAGGGAGGGAATTAGAATAACTTGTCTGGCTCCAAGCGCCTCCTGTCAGCAGGGCTCAGATACAGAGAGAAATACTGCATAGCACAAAGGAGAGTTGGAGGTGTCTCTAGGGACAAAGTAATCTCTGAGAAAGCAAGCAAGCCTCAGAGAAGGGAAATCTCTTACAGAACCCACAACATTAACGCTTTCCCTCCTCCATGTCAGGAGAACTAAGCTCCATCTCTTTTTGCCTTCTCTGCCAAAGCCAGCATTGTCTGCAGCAAACATGATGAGATGATCACTTCAGTGCTGGATGCCATAATGCTGTGTGGCCAACTTTCATTTTCAGCTGGACATAGAAGAAATGGCTGACATGCTGGTTAATGGGAGAGGGAGAGAAATTAGTCTGTTTGGCTATCTCGTGACCCAGATGAACTCGGGTATCATCAGCCAAAGACTACAGTATTAAACCTTTTTTATGCATACAAAAAGCCCAGCAATGCGGACTGAACTTCATGAAAAACCATTATTTATTCTCCTCCCCGTCCATCCCCACTTTGTGTGAATTAAAGATTTTCTGTTGGCTAAGGTGAAGCCAAACTTGGCCAAAACTACTCATCTGGCTTCCGAAAGCAGCTTCTTCCAAGGGAAGAGCAAACAGAAGCAATTCCCTGTAAAAAAATGGTCTCTTGTTGGGTAAAATGACACCTGAAGCTAGGGGACCTTTACAAGGGTGAAGCTTTCAGGCAGGCATGCTGCCTGGCTCTAGTTATCTGATAGACTGCCAGGGACTGTCCTCCACAACCAATGAGAAGCAACAGGAAGGAAAACAACTCACTCTGAAGTGGATCTTAACTCTGTATTCCACTCCTTCCTTTAATACAAAGGTCTCTTTCTTGAGTGCTTCAAGGTCACCTGTAATGAGAAGACCAAGCCATTAGCTAGAGCTGTCACAGCAAGAAGAGACCACACGTGGGGGAATGGGGTGGGATTGGTGGCAGAGGTAAGCATCCCTTTGAAGGATGACACACCTATAAAGTGAGTATGCGCAGGTCTGTGTAAGCAATCGCACTGTGAGAGCAGACACAGAGGAAAGCCTGGGTGTACATATGTGGCTGTGCCCACATCTATGAAGATAATGCTTAAACACAGGTCTAGGCACATATACACAAAGATATTTATGCACAGACTCATCGTCAGGCATCTGCAGGAGTGTGTGTGTGCGCTTCGCCCGTGCCCAGCCTGGCTTGGGTGAGCAGAGCATGTTTTGCAGCTCCCGCCTGACTTGTGAGGCTGCCCAGGCTCTGCAGGGCTCTGCGTGGTTTGGTTGAACAGGAAGCCTCTCTGCTCCTCCGGACCCAGCTTCCTCTCTCTGCAGAAAAGCCCATATAAGGTGAAGCCTGGTTCTCTCTTCATGTCCCCAGCAGCCGGAACTGTAGTATTGCTTGATTCTGAAGTTTCAAAACAGCCCGTTACCCGAACACATGCACATCCCTTGCTTGTGAGGTCTCATTGAAAGGAAGTAAGAAGACAGGAGAAACCAAGGAGACCTTAGAGCAGCCTAGATAAAGAAAAAGACTCTCGACATTTCCCTGTGTTACATCTCCTTTTCCATATGTATATACCTTAAATAAGAAACAAGGCTAAGACGCTCTCAGAGTTCCTCTAGATCCCACTGCAGCATCCCAAGGAAAAATTCCATTTCAATTTGAAGCAGGCCAGAGCATTTGCTTGTTCCCCTTAGTGCCCAAGGACAGAGTCTGTGCCTACCTGTGAGGTCCATAGTGATCGGTCCTGGAGCAGAGTCACATACCAGAGTGAGTCGAGTGACCACCACGTTGGGAGCTGTTGGGTCTGCAGGTAAGAAAGCCAGGGGCAAGCTGTCAGCTTGCAAAATTAAATGGTAGGGGAAGGGGATGACACTGA